AAAAAAATCCGGAAAATTTGCCACATAGGAAAGGCGCCCGCTGCCGTGGCCTAGGTTTCTCACTGAAAATCCTCGTCCTTCGGCGGCACCTTTTTTTGAGTTTTCTTCCTTTTCAACGCCGTTTTTCGGAGATTTCGGATTTTCTTTGAATTTTTTCGCAATAATATTCGGAAAATAGATAACTTTTAACACATTTTAATGCAATAAAAATTTTTGGTCGGAGTCCCCCTTTAAGCAAAGAGTTTTCAAGTTATAATCGTTTTGCAACATAAATTTTTCGATTTTAAATTTCGAGAGAAAAACCTTCTGCTGGAAAAATTGCTTTCCCAAAGTTTCTAAACATTTCTGAAGATCTCAAATCAGCACTGATGACACTAACTAGGATACCGTATTATAAAAATTTTGAAAATTCGTAGAATATTTTCAACCAAAATTTATTCGTGAGGTAAAATTTTGAAGGGGTAGTTATCACATTGAGTTCGAACTTTATTTGTTCATAATAAACCATTGAAAGCTAGGAAGGAAAATGTTTAACTTGTCGATTTTCAGCTTCACACGCTGAGTTACCGTAAGTTCTAGAAACCTATTTTATCAGTTGACAGATTTTTGATATCTCTCTTAAGAACCAAGATAATTGAGCTCGAAGTGCACGTATTGGGTGTGACATATAGGAAAAGCTTTAGAACACCATCCTATACTTGCACTTTGAGCTCGATTACCTCGATTCCTGTAAGAGATATCAAACATTTGCAATTAAAAAAGTGTTGGCTAATTATGGCCATTATTCTATCGGTTGACAGATTTTTATATCTTTTATAGGAAGCGAGATAATTGGTTTGAACAGAGGGTTTTTTTTAAACAACTCACTCGAAAACCTTGCCATGGTCTATTCTTTCTGTTGGATTATGTAAATTTCGTATAAGGTTTAGTTGATCGCTAATTAGAATAGTTCACTCAAAGCAGACACAGAGATGCAATGAAAAAGAAGTGAGAGTTTTTCTGGGTCATTTCTCTTTCTCGCATTTTCTCGGGAAGAAGAGAAAAAGAACAATAAAGGAATCAGCAAAGAAGGAGAAGGTGATTAGAATGAGTAAAAAAGAGGAGGAGGAGGTCAGGTGATCATATATTGTTCTTGATCCTTTTTAGAATCGTTTGGTCGAATTTGGGATTCAAGAATTTTTGAAAAAAAAAGTGAGGGTGTGATTCAACCCCGTCTAAGATTGAAACCAAGTTTGAGAGAATTCTGAAACAGTGAATTTTTGAATTGAAGGGTGGCTCCGACCAAAACTTTTTTGCACTAAAATGTTTCCAAAGTTATGTATTTTTCAAATGAAAAAACCCAGGAGACGAGTTTTCAAGATTTTACCATTTTCCACCAGAAAGACCTATTTCTGACCGGCCAATTTCTTTAACGCTTCTGGAAGTTTTGAAATTGTGATCGTTTTTTTCGAATTTTTTTAAAACTGAAATTAACTTTCAGTTTTGACCTATTGTAGTACATTTTCATATTTTCATAGAACTTTCATATTTTGCCGACTTTTCAATCATCGTTTTTCCTCATTTTCTGGGTATTCTTGTGAAAATGACCCATGTTGTCAAAAAGTTCAAATATTTTGAGGGAAGCGGGCATGGATAATACAAAGATGGAGTTTGGGATTTTAAAGTTTTCGTGTGAGACAGTAACGTTTAAAGTTAGAATCATGTTTAAGAAAGTTCTGAAACGGTGCATTTTGAAATCAAAGTTTCCTCAAGCTAATAGTAAGCATGGAAAAGGTCTTATGAACCACATAACATCAAGTTATTGCAGTGAATCAGTAACTTCAGAATTTTACAGCGAGCGAAGTAGGAAACGGAATGAATTGGAAATAAGTGTTTTCGAAAGAGAAAATCTGGGGGCCGCGACCGCTGCCAGGACCGAGTTACCGTAGTTATATCCTAGACCAATTAAAGAGACGGCCCTTCTACCACATGTTCTACGGACATTGAATTTTATGGATTTTTCGTGGAGCTTTGTATTTCAGAATTTTGGATCTACACTACTATTAGGTTGGAAGCTAAGTCTTTGTGCACTTTTGTCTTCCTCGTTTCCTCAACTGAGCTAGAACAGTAAAATGTGTGTAACTGGATATGGTATATAAGATGATAAGGTTGTTCACAATAACCATCATTCGCCCTGCTCTCATTCCGCTTGCTAACGGGATGCCTCTTTTGACACCCACTGTTTTTGGGTGAAGTTTCTGTATATTGTTTGTGTTTATTTCTAACCTGAAAGTGTCCGATATTCATCACCGCCTGTTGGAAGTTAACAAAGACAATGACCTCATAGAAACACCATTGAAAATTGGGTTGGCAAGTTCAAGAACCAGGACTTTTCAATGAAAAATAAAACTTGTCCCGGGAAACCAGTTCTTCAAGATTCAGACAAGCTGAGAGATCTAGTAGAACGGGACTCTTTCCAATCTACCCGTGAAATGTTAATCACTTTAGGGACAACCCATACCACTATTGAAAATGGATTGTTAAAGTTGGGAAACACAGAAAAACTTGGACGGCGGATACCTCACCGTTTTGACCGGCTTAGATGTTCAGTGGCGAGTGGACCTGAGCATGCAACTTCTTACTCTACTCGAGAACTTTAAGCGGCTAAAATATATTATCACCATAGATAAGAAGAGGGTCATAAATACTACCATCACAGGAAAGCCCAATGTCTTGACTTCGAAAAACAACCAGTAGACGTCATCAAACAGGAATTTCACCTAAAAACAGTGGATGTCAAAAGGGGCATCCCGTTAGCAAGCGGAATGAGAGCAGGGCGATTGATGGTCATTGTGAACAACCTTATCATCTTATATACCATATCCGGTTATACACATGTTACTGTTCTAGCTCAGTTGAGAGAAACGAGAAAAAAAGTGCACAAAGACTTACAAAGGAAAGGTTTTTCAGACAACGGCTGAGAATTCTCTCAAAATTTGTACAAAGGTACTTTCGAACATGCTGAATCCGAACCCAAAAAAAATTTTTAAACCGTTCTCAAAAAGAGCCGAAATATGGCCTCTGAAAGTGATTTCAGTACTAAAATTTGACCAAAACATGCATTTTTTCGAAGGCTAAAAATTACTTTTTCAGGATTTGCTTGAGTGCAAAACTCATTTTTGGACATTTTTTATCTTCTAAAGTTACTTTTAAACATTTTCAAAAAAAAAAATTTTTTTTGAAAAATTTTGAAAAAAATCACCATGTGGTCCCCCACACTTTGAAAATGATTTTTTGAAAAATTTTTGAAAAGTGTGAAAAAACGTTCCAATTATTCAGAAACGATAAAAATAGCATTCTGACAAATTTTTTCAGCCCAATGTTGTTTTTGGGCTCAAAAAATCTCCAAAATCTGATTGTTGTTAGAACTTTGACATTTCCTAATTTCTGAAATATCGCTTACTTAACTGAAACCTATAGAAATAGGTTCGAATTTTGTATGGTATCGATTTGACAGTACTCCATCTCAAAAAGAGCAAAATTGAGCAACTTTCAGAGACTGAAATTTTTGTTTTTAACGATACGAGGATGTAAGAACCGGTCGAAAAGACCATTATCTATTTTTTCCTCAAACTCTCAAGAAATCTTTTTTTTTTCTTTGAAAACTTTTGAAATTAATCAAAAAGTGTCATATAGTGCCTAGGGGGGCAAACTTGGAATCAAAAATTAGTTTCAAAAAATGCAAAAAAGTTTTACCCCAGTGGGGGTCGAACCAGCATTGTCAATCATAATGAGTCACCTGTTACCACAACACCACACAACCAATATTTTCCTCTCATGCGGAATTGGTAGAGGAGAGAAGGGGAAGCCGAAATCCCCAGCGCACCGAAATCGGCCCAAATTTTCAGACAAAGTTTTTCGGCCTGGGAGTGAGAACGGGCTAAAAATTTTTTCGTCATCGTATAGAGCATGTCTTAAACTATAAGTATGCAAATTTTGAGCAAATTCTCAACCGTTGTCTAAAAAACCTTCCCTTGTTAGTTTCCAACCTAATAGAAAGAATGCCGTCAAAGGTTAGAATCAAGTTTTACGAAAATTTTGAAACGGCAAATTTTGAAATTAACGTATTTTCGAGCAAACACGGAAGAGTTTCTTATGAATCACAGAATCTCCAGTTATTGCATTGAAAATAGTGTAAGCACTACAAGCTAGATTGAATCAATAATTTCGGAATCTTATAGTGAACGAATGAATGGGAAAAAATGTTTTC